GTATTGTAAAAAAAATATTATATATATTATATATAATAAAATATTAAATATATCTAACACAGATTTTTACGTAAATCCACTGTCTCAATTTAAAATAAAAAAGTTTAAAAACTCACAGATCTGATGCGCAACAGCGGAGTTGTTGAAACGTTGACCTGTAAATTACAAACACATTCAGATTACAATAGCATTCTAAAAATTAGAATTAAACATTACTGACGCTTAGAATTTTTATTTTTTAAATAGATATTTAATATTATAAGTAGATATTGATTAACTTTTATCAAAAAATGTATTTTCTTTGGCATAAAAAATGTATATAAATATGTTTCTTAAATTATCAAAAAGAACTTTTGATACTACAAGTAGGTACTTAATGATTTTATAACTTTTCTTGAAAAATTGCATCTTTTCCTTGGAATATATAAAATTTCTATAAATATTCGATCAACTATTTTCCTTAATTTGTTTTAAAACAGCTGTTACACACTCTCTAAATTCTTTGAAATTGAGATCTCACTTTAAAGAGTGAAAATTGAGCTTCTTGAAAAAGTGGTTCGATTTTCAATCTTTAGGAGTCAGATTTCACTCTTCAGACTCGGAGTGATATTTTCATTCTAAAAGTTTTAAAGATCAATCACATGAAGTACCATACAGAAAATGAGTCAGTAATTGTTGCGAAAATGAATCATCAATTTTATAAATAATATAATAAATAAACAAATAAATATTACTTACTGCAGAGTTGCTCCGCTGTCGCCAGATGCCCCCCCCCCAGGCCTCCTCCTCCTCTCAGATTTCCTCGTCGCATTGGGTACACTCGCGAAAACACAGTTAACTAAAAAAATTAAAATTTATGGTTAATTATTTAATTATTTCACGCGCGTTAATTACAGAACATGATCATGCGACACTGTCAGTTTTCTGTAGCTAGTATACACTTTTGAAACTTGTGAAATAGATGTATTTGATATTTAGCGAAAACGAGAAAAAAAATTCTGATCTAATCTAATGCAGGAATAAAAAAATCTCTTGTGACATTAACGTTAATCACGCATGAAACACACTTAACACACTTAACACACCTCCTCGTGACGGAGAAACAACGCGAAGACGCGGGAATGCACAAAAAAGCTGCGATTCACTCGAATGTTGTTTTTTCTTATCAAAAGCTACAAATTCATCAATTATCGCGACCAGCATTGTTCCTTATCGTGCGGCAAGGTTTCTGCGTTTCGTGTGCAAAACTGCAGGAGTCAAAACTTGTGGCGTTTCCCGTTCCGCGAATGATGACAAGATGGCCGATCTATGTGAATCGCGTCGTCAATTTCAGACGCTCCGGCGACACTGCGTTTCCTTCCCACATCCAGCGAGAAATGATTTATCAAATTGATGTCGAGTCAACGAATACGATGTAATATCAATGAATTCGCCATCAATTAAACGTTGATTCGACGTTTAATTGACGATCATTTGGATGGAAATTGACGATCGGATAATTGTTTCGTTCCTTCCGAATTATTTTACGACACAGCATGCTGTTGCGCTTTAGCGTCGAGATTATCGTATCGAGAATAATATGTAGATATGAATAAATGCTAGTCAAAATGCTATAGGGGCAAATATCCGTGGAGTGCAACTGAAAGGTGATTATCGAATCGATCGGTCGACGAATTGCCGTTGGACAAATCTCACCGAATACCGCCACGATATATCGTCCCGGTGTATTAATGCCGTATTTATACCACTCAGTTAACAAATATTGAAATGTCGGGACTAATTCCGACAAATTACTCACCAATTAAACACGTTACGACGCTCCGCTTGACTCGATCAATCCGCGACGCTGCGTGAATGATCGAGAAAGTACGAATCTTGCTGACCTTGCCGGCAACGTCATATACTACGTGTAACCAATCAGAGGCGTCACGCGTTTTCCGTTACGAAACAACTCAATTTCCACGAACTTTCCATTTTGGCTGCGTTTGAAAACTTTTTATCTGAGTGTCCATTGCCGGTATTCACAATTATGGATTTTCTACAATAAGGCATTAGTTATAAATTAAAAGTCAGAAACTTGACTGTGATTGGTCAATTTTTAACTTCTGATTTCTAATTTATGACTAATGACTTATTATAAAAGGCCCATAAGACTTTAAATTCAAGACTTCCTTAAGTTTATCTTTAGATTCTCTGTAATCAAACGACAAAATTAATAATTTATGGAATATTTAAAGATCAATTTAAATAAACCTTAAATGTAAATTCTGACTATGAAACGGGCACATTCTATCTTTATTAGATATAAAACATGATAAAGTGATACACTCAGACATTCGGATGAAGTTTCCAAACGCAGCCTAGTGAAACGAATCTACACAAGTGACATTCTATCCTTAGATTTGTTCACGTTGTTCGAAATTCTTCAAAATTTTTACTTAAAAACGAAATAAATATATTATGCATATATCTTTCTAGTTTATTTTCGGTACGATAAATAACTAATTCGGCCACAAATAACAAACCAATAATGCGCAATATATTTTCAACACATAAATCCCGCTAAAGTATGCGCTATTAAACAATCGACGTATTATGGCTTTCCGTTACTTAAGCCCCTCGATTCGAGCAAATCGCGCATTAATCCGTGCTCGCGGTTCGAAAGTATCGGAGGCGAATTACGCTTATCGACGGAAAGCTCGGGAATAAACTTAAACATAGGCATCGAAGAGAAACAATACCGAAACAACTCTCGTTTCTGAGCACTTCTTGGTTTCTTTACGACGAATAAATGCGCGTGAAATATCTGCTTGAAGTGAACTTGAATGAATAGCTGGCGCGAGCTTTAAGCACGAGGGTCGTTGAATCCGTCCGAACGCTTGGAACGCTTGTAATAACTGCGACTGATTGTAAGTCCGGTAAGTTGCGAGGATTCGAGGAATGTGTGTGAAACGGTCACAGTATTGTTTATGTCGCGCGAATAACAAGGTCGCCGATGACGTAAACAAATGACGCACCGCGCGATGGGCCAATCGATCCCCCACCATTTCCTAAGCGCCGCGCAGCAGAAATAGAGTAATTGAGAGTACAATTAGTTTACTATCAAATATATCACGTACGCTGAACAACATGTTCTTCCAAGCTGTGTGTCGATAAACGGATTGTCTTGCACAGTGCCTCATGAATTTTAAATCGTTATCAAAAGCAGTATAAGAGTATAAAGTCAGTATTTCTATGTATAATCCGTTATCTTATTACAAAATCGTTTTGATAAGTAAATTGGAAATACCGATGACAATAAATCTAATTAAATAAGAAATATTTTATTTTTTGTTTGAAGCACATCGTAGCATTTAAATATTTCTATGAAATTTATACATATGGCTGATTCTGCTGTGTGCCGAAATCTTTTTTTGCAAGAAATTATTTACAGATTTAAGATATTTATTAACATCAGATTATTAATTGATATTCTTAATAATTAATATTCTTATAAAAATGCTTATTAGCATCCAAAATTATTAATCAAATATAAGTAAATCACAAAGGCTACGAGCCAAAAGGATTTATTTTGATTTATTTCAGTTGAGCCATTTTTACTAATCTATATCAAAATTATAAATTGCTTGTCAGCTATGTGATTTATGATTCTGTGTTTTATATTATTTTAAGACTATTGTATTTAAGACAGCTTAAATATGAAAACTGACTGTAGGTCTTGTTATTTTCAACAAAATTGCTTCTTGCAATTTGATTTTTTTGTTTTTTCCTTCAATGTAGAAAAAAAAAGAAAAAAATAATATTAATATTAAGAAAATCACTCATTTATGATGAAAAAGAGGAAAAATAAATCGTGCTAAAATTTCGTTGAAAGTAACAGATCTTATAAATATCGGTTTAAACCTTGAACAGTGAGCAACTGACTAATCATAGCCGAGAGTTTTAAATTATAATCTTATATTTTCGATAATATTCTCGATTGCAATTATAATGAATTCGCGTATTGAATTTGGTTTTACTGCTCACGTTCTTGTGTTCTCTAATTCAATTATTGATTACTTCAATCAATATATATTTCTGCATGTAGCCGTTTTGTCTATACATACATAGTTTGTTTTCCAATCTCTTATACATTTTTGGACAATTCCGACAATTCTTTGCGTCCTGATTGGACGATAATTCGACTCGCATAGTGTCGCGTGAAATTGCAGATGTTACGTATCTTTCCTCGACAAAATGTCGCATTTAGAAGTTGATTTTCGAACTGAGTGGCATCGCGACGCATCTAAGTAGTACGTAAAATTCTTATTTCAATCAGTATTCTAGTATTCGTTAGCCACATAACATAAATTCGTTGATTACATCGTCATGATTTGTCGAAGTGTATATATTGCGAGATTTCAGTTGGAATATATCACGCAAACGATCAGTAAATTTTTTATATTTTTTCCTATTATATTTCGCGGATATTTGTCTTTAATTTTCACATTCGCGCATTTATTCATATTTCTCTCATAATACGAAATTGAATGAGACAAACAATCATAGAACGATAATTACAATCTGACAATACGAGAGAAAACGAGAAAGTGCTATATATGGTGATGTGAAGGGAATAGGATAGGGAAGGGGGGGGAGGGGGGGAATGCGCGGCGAGGCATGAAGTGAAGTTGGCCGCACGATTTTCGAGTTTCCGTCATTAATTCGCTGCGTTCGCAAAATGTCGCAACTCGTAGAATCGTAGCTCCGCTTAATCGTAATCGCATCACCTCGACGCGTTATTCCGTTTCATCGTAGCTTGGTAGAGACGCTTTTTTTTGCATTATTCTTCCGTAACATAACAAAGTGCGTGTCACGCGTGATTAACATTGTATAATTGATTAACATTACCGCGCGATCGTAATTATCCGCGTATTAACCTCATTCGCGAATGTGTACGGACGCCAGGAATCTGAGAGGAGGAGGAGGAGAAGGCGAGGGAGGCAATGTAGCGATCGCAAGGGTAAGTGTTTTATATTCTTCACTTGTTTCTTTTCAAATCCGATCGTTTATTGTGACGAGGGAGAGCGCTCATTATGCAAAATAAAGCGCATTTGAAGTATTTAATTATAATTATAAATGTATAATCTTAGATCTTTTAAAAACTACAGAATAAATAAAAAGGAAAAAAAATAAAAGAATATAATAAAAAATATTTAGTGAAATATTTTTTGTGTGATATTTAATATTGTTATAATTTTATATACATTATATAAAATATAATTTATGTAATATGTTTATTTATGTAATACGAAATATTTAAGATATTTTGTCACATGTTTAGTACGAAATAAATTTAGAAAATTATATATTTAAGTTATTTATATAAACTCGGGGGATTTCTGCAAAAATTAACGTATATTTACATCCACATTTTATATTTTATAAATCTGTTCTATATCAATTACAAATGTTGTTTTACTGAAAAACATTTCTGTTTAAATATAATTTGTAAGAATTTTTATTGTATTTTTTTTATGATATTACAATTTGAAATAGTAAACTGAAGCTTTAATAAGATATATTTATGACATTTATTTTCTCGCATTTTTTCAATTCTCAGATAAATGAAATTGTATTAGCACGAAATTATTATTTTCGAGTAAAAATTAATGATTGCTTGATTATTACAAAATAAAATATTTATATTTACAATTAATGAGTGTTCTTTGTGAATAAATTTACAAATATACATATTGATATTCGTCTTTTATTAGTCGGGAATGTTTTTTAACCAATATTGAAATAAAACGGAGAGCAGAAATTTATTGCGCTAGATCGTTAAATTCCCTTTAGTGTAGTCTCGATCGCGATATAAGCTCTCGGCGCAGAAATCAACGGCGGAATCACGTAAATCACCAGGAACATTCCGTGAGTCGTATAGCGAAACATGCGGTAAACAACGGATAGGTGACGGTGTAAATCGAACAGTTTGGGCGAGGCTGAGGCTAGATCGGCCCTTCGTATCAATAGCAGTTCTGCGTCAACAGTGTTTAGTCGGTAATCCGCATACCTTGCAAAGTAACAATGCATTCCACTTGTCCGCTGGTTATACTCAGTGCAGAATTAGGCTCACGTACGACTCGGGTACTCGGAAGTCTGAACGCTTTCACAATGACTCGCGATATCGCAGAATCGAGTCGAGTCCACAACCGGAATCGAAGGTTTGTTTGCGATTGAGGGTAGAGTTTTGCGAAAATGATTTTGATTCAATACGGAAAGTACGAATTTCATAAAATATCTAAAAGTTTAGGCACAGATCTGAAAATAATTTTATTAAATCATGGTAATTATAGAAAACTCAAGTATGATGAGCAAAAAATTTTGATATTTTAGCAACCAATTTAAGCGTTCTACATAATATTATTTTGATAGTTCACAAAGCTCCAGACTTATATTGAGCTAAATTTTTAGATACTCTAACAAAACTGTTCTTTTTTCGTAAAGGAATAAGTGAAAATTGCCCGCGGGACTAAAAGGTCATGTTTGATAAATCGTCAAAGCGATTTTGCACTTCTTCTTTTAACAAAGAAACGTCTGCATCAGAATTTTTTTATATAAATCGAAAGATATTATATTTATAAACGAACAAGAGCACGGAAAGGACGATTTTACTGAAATTCTTTAAAAATTAGATTCATCTGAAAATAATTTTATCGGACCATCAAAATAATTAGGACGCTCAAAATTGAAACTAGTTGCTAGAATACCAAACCTTTTTGCATTATTGCTCATCATACTTGAGATTGTTACGTAATTATTTTGATGTGGTCCAACAAAATTATTTCAACAGATTCTTTATCTAACTAAATTTTTAAGAAACTCTTTTTCAAGTGTATTCGCAA